CTGATGTGGGGATGAATAGGAGAATGTGTTCAACGATGCTGAATTTGGCCATGTTTACGAGCATGTGTAGAATTCGTTTTTCCATTTCTCCCTTTTCGCACCTGGTCGGGAGGACGGCGATCACGAACGTGCACTTGTATATCTTCCAACTGATAATATCCGTGACATTATCATTCGAAAGAGTTGAATGAACGTGCTTGAAGAGCGAGAGACCGAAGACCTTGTTCGCTTCTTCGGATATGAGTCGAATGCGATCCACGAGGAGGAAGGCTTCTGCCTCCTCGCCAGCGATCACGTGGACGTCGCAGTCTGAAGCGTGGAGGAGTCCCTTCAACAACTTCCGGAAGCCTTCGGTTTCATGAGCGGTTACTGCGGCCGTGCAGCAGAGGCAGAGAAACAATATTGACTTCATTATGAATTGTGTATTAGAGTCTCGAGAACCATGTTTGGCAAGTTCAGGTTTGTTACGTCTCGCCTGAAGGCACACTGCACAATAGCTTTCACGTCTTGCTTCTTCATGACTAGTGAATTCCCCCATAACAGAGGCAGCGTAGCACACACTCATGCTCAATCGATTGGGGGCTAGGCATTGCCAGGGCATGACAAGCTGGGGAGATATACAATAACGTATGTCTCAGCCTTTATATTTCGAGTGTTGTGCAAACTGCAAGAAGACAAGAGCGGGCGGAGAATCAACAAAAGACCAAAAACGTCAATCGGTTATTTTTTCATGATATGCAACCTTTGCCTTCTTACAAAGGCGATCCACGCGTTTCGAGACGACACGGCAACGAAAGAGCATTCCTTTCCCCATCAGTCCTGGATCTTCTCGGCCTGCTGCGGATTTTCGGGAAGCACTGCCATCGGTTACTCTCCGATCTTTTCGTGAGTGCTTCCCCAAATGCGGCAATGCCTTTTTCGAATTGTTATTCGCATCTATGAAGAGAATGACTTTTTTCTTTAGAGGAAGAACCTCTTATTAACTATCTTGTTAGATCTCGGATTCTAACGATGAATAGACGTCTGTAATTGTCTCTCTTCAGCCTACGAAACAGCCTCAAGCATACACCGAGACGTACCCCAGCGGTTAGGGTGGGGGGGGGGGGGGGGGAGGGGGGGGGGAAGGGGGAAGATTCTGAGGACCTTTCCCCTGATCCAATGTGATGCAATCATGGGGAGATCTTATGGGCTTGGATTCTCTTCGAAATCCTATTCTTGACATGCATGGTAGATGAGCATGGAATTAAACTCAACTGTGAATTTAACAATATTAGGATTCCATTAAAAAAATCCAAACTTCATCATTTTGACTAATTCTTTCATGAAGTAATGTGAAACCAAATTTCAATCGCTTTCCTTTTCTTCAAACTCCCCCCGGCCTCTACGGGGACTCACTAACGTTAGGCCTAGGCCTAACCAACAGACTGCTTTCAGGTCAAGCCAAGGCCTACCTTTTTCTCTTCAATAGAAGCTCAATTACTTACGGCGCCAATCAGGCCTGTAAGGATGAATCGTGGTCTTCGAGACATCTGGTTAAGGACGTGTAACGTTATGCCAATCGCAGGCCTATTCATATGTTCACGAACCATTGCAGAGTGGACGTGTAACGTTAGACCGATTGGAGGCACGATTCTGTGGTGAGAGAGGAAGAAGTATGCCAAATTTCTTTCCTGTTGATGCTCTCAGAGGGGAAGGTTGAATTTTGCGGCGGGAAGGGGTTGAAGAAAGGTAATAGGCGCTACCAAAGCCAATTGATTTTGAAATAACTTAGGTTTTCGGTTTATGCATCTTTATTGCTGCAATACGATGCAAACCAGACGGAAAATCGCAGATGGCTGGCAATAGAAACGCTTACGGAACATTTTTCACACCAGACAGATTTGGCAGTTGAGGTATGGCTGCAGAAGCCTCGGCAAAAAAAAAAAACTATTCTTGGCATGTCTTCGAATATCCTTGGATTCGATTCAAAGGGAGCAGACCGAACCGTCTCGTGAAGTCATTCGGCGTTTTCTTCCAACTATTTTTTTTTAATGCGCAAATTTCGTATCGAAGCCACCAAAGGACTTTTTGCGTGAAGTTCCACCTTCGATCCTACATTTCCCCGACCCTACCTTGCAAAGATGCGAAGAACAAAGTGCCGAGAATCCAAAAGATGCACGAACGCCCAAGACATTCCGGCGAGAGTGGGGATCATCAGCGAGTCTCTCTCAGCCACTGCAGGTATGGCGCTGCCGAGGTTCTCATTCTTCGACCTCCGGCAGCTCCATCCGCCACTTCTCGATGCTCGCCGGAATCCATCAGCAACGTCCTGAAAGGCGTCTCGGAAACGCCAATGCTTCGGCACTAAAATCCCGACGCGGAAGAAGAGCAGGCACTCGTCTCCCACGCGGATCGGCGATGCGCCAGAAGGTTCTTGGAAGTGGAGGAAATGATGGTGTCGAAGCATCGCTGCATCCCGGATGTAAGCCGCCTTCCCTTCCGCCTCGAGCTGGAGATCCTCTCGGATGGAGTCGAAGGATTTATTCGATGAACGTAGAATTCTGTCTTGAAGTATTCCGAGGCCCCAAAAACTCCAGATATGAGGAAGATTGGATAGGCAGTTGAGACGTATTCAAATCATCGAAGTCGGAAATGAGGCTTTCTTCTTCCGAAAAACGGTCAACTTCGAGAGTTGAATGCGATCACCGTAATGCGTAAATGAATACGGAAGCCAAAAATATTCTTTGCGAATGCTTTCTCCCTGGACAACGGATGGATTGTCTGAGGAAAATGCCGAGAATTTCCAGCCAGCGAACATTCTTCGGACTCACAACAGCATTCGCTGCTAACGCAATCAAAAAACAAATTCCAAGACAAATCCACAGAGAATATGGAGAGAACTTTCTCCCATCGTGCGATGTATACTTCGAAGTGAAATTCAAAGCAGCTGCTTCGATCGGTCGATGTTCGATCCTCAAATATATGACGTGATCGCTTTCGGATTTGAATCCGAAAGAACAGAATGGAAAGTAATCTCGACGGAAGGAAATGGTCAATGCGGACTCTTCGCGATGAAGAAACTCTTATTTTCAGAGGGATATTTTTCAAGCTCGTGTATTTGGATGGGAGACTATCCTGATCCCCCAGGGTTTCGGCTTGCTATCGACTGGTCGGGCACGATGTCGCTTTCACTTCGATGCCGGAATATGTTCTTTTTGTCGGTTTCAGATGTGGGGATGAACAGGAGAATCTTTCCAATCGTCTCGAACTTGGCCATGGAAACCAGCATGTGCAGGATTCGTTTTTCCACTTCTCGCTTCTCACATCTGGTCGGGAGTGCGGCGATCACAAACGTGCACTTGTGTGTCTTCCAACTGATAATATCCGTGACGTCATCGTTCGAGAGACTGGGCTGTTTCGGATTGAAGAGCGAGAGACCGAAGACCTTGTTCGCTTCTTCGGATATGAGTCGAATGCGATCCACGAGGAGGAATTCCTCCTCCTCGTCGCCAGTGATCACGTGGATGTCGCAGTCTGAAGCTTGGAGGAGTCCGTTCAAAAACTTCCGGACGTCTTCGGTTTGATGAGCGTGTGCAACGAGAATGCAGCAACAGCAGATGAATAAAGTTGACTTCTTCTGAGCCGTGGATTAGAGTCCCGATCAAGAAGTTCAGCAAGTTCATGTTTTCAACGACTCGACAGAAGTAACACCGCACGTAGTCTTTCACGTCTACCCCCTAATCGTCAAGTGAATTGTCCCCTTAAAAGAGGCAACGGAGCGGGTCCCATTGTCAATCGACCGATTGATCAAACGTATAGGGCTTTGGTTCAACAAAGTGAGGTGATGGATTATAAATTAGGTCTACGCTTTTCGAGTGCAGTACAAACTGCAGTGAAGACAAGAAAGCAAAAAACGTTATTCTTTTAAACGCTCATCTTGGATCACTGCTGTCTTCCTACTGAAGCTAATTCATGCGCGTATTGCGATCGATATACAACTAAATGGTCTAAAGTCCTAATACCGAGCCCTGATTTGTGACGAGTTTCCCTTTGCGCTTTCTAGCGTGAATCCTTCTCTGCTCACCTGTTGAATATTCCCATTCATTCTGCCTTTAGCTTGCGTGATATGGACAATGGGACTTTGGTGTTTTGAAGAAGCTTTCCAGGTAAGTTTAGGTGAATATTTTTTTATTTTGTCAACGTTGACGACGAGACGCCTGTAACCGTCCATCTCTCGGTGAGCGACGAGGAAACGGACCTATTGATGTCTATGACCCGTGCGCGGAGGCGTTCCCATGGGAGGGATATGAGGGCCCCACCCCACCAAATGAAATGCGGCCAGAGATGGACGGGTCCGATTGCTCGCAAAAAACGCAGGCTTGGGGGATTTAATTGACTTGGACCTCTCAGTACATACAAGGATCGTACGAAAAACGAGGATGTTCTGAAATTGCACGCTACTTGGACCCTTGATCTCCAGGCGTTCCGTTCTGGACTTTCACGGGAAAAAAAGTTTGTAAAATCTGCACAGTAGATTAATTTTGCTTCGGTCCATTTTCGTAAGTCATGTTCACTGGGACCAACTCGGCGCCTTCACCACTATGAAGCACTCGGTGGATTGCAAGGTGAATGCGGAGCGGGCCATTTCGCCTCGACAGTGTCACCTGGGTCACCTGGATGCACCATACAGGTGACCCATCGTGTCGTAAGTGCTCCGAAATTCCAAATTCACGGAAGATGGAGATTTTTTCGCTTTTGAATAGTACCGTCTTCGCGACGCGGTCGAGTGAGACTTGAAAGGCAGTTTCGGGGCTTCAGATCCGCAGGCGGAATTCTTCAAAATCGGAAGAAAGCTGTCAGGTAGCTGCGACCGAGAGAGCCTCGTCTCATGTCATCAAATAATCGCAACCACTGCAAGGCAAATCTAACAAACACGATTTTGCGAATGCCGAAGATTCCCTCGAGAGGACTTTGTACGAATCACAACATCCAGCATTGCCATCGAAAAACTTTATTTTCGACATGAACCGTCCTCGGCCATAAAAGGAAACGAAGATAAAGGGGCTATGGAAGACACAAAGAAAAAAAAAAATAGATCGACGACGAAATCGCGGAAAGAGAATACTTGGCGCAGATCCAGTAAAGTCTCCCCGATAGAAAAATGATGCCATTCACGTAAGCGGATATCACATGTATGAAATTTTTTGTCTCGGCCTGCAGTCGACGACTCGTGCGTCGAGAAAAGCCACCGCCGAGTTCCTTTTCCGATTTGACTTGAGCAGATACGAAAAGCGGGGATAGGCAAGAAGCACAGGGAAGGAATAGGATTTAGCGACTTCATACGCTGGTTCTGTAGGTCATGAAGCGTTTGAGAGACCTCTCGATGTTGAGGCGATGACCGGATCGCTTCACGCCGAGGCAGTGGAGAGCCTCCTCGTTGAGGCCCATGAGGCGGCGGCCGTCGATGCCGCACTCGACGAAGGATCGTTTGTATTCGGGCATGAAGAGGGACTCGAGCCAGTCGGCCGTGTCCCACACGTCCCACTCGTGCAGGGGCTTGCTGAGGAATCCGACCCTGGCGCGGGGAGGGTTGCGGGGAGGGTTGCTCGGCTTGCCTGGGGCGGGGTCCGAGTCGAGCAGGGATTCGAGGCTGGAGGAGGATGTGCTGGAAGACTTGGTGAGGGAGGAGGTGGGGTAGCCGACGCGGATGGTGGTGCGGTGGGTGATGGGGTTGGATATCACAGTCTCGATGCTGGCTTCGCTTTCGCTTTCCGTGTCGCAGAACTCGGGGGGTGGGGCGATGGCGAGGCCTCCGACTTCGCCGGGGGTTCGGTCGTTGTCCGAGGGTGGGGCGAGGCCGGCGAGGATGTTCACCTCGTTCAGGGAGTTCACGTGCTGTTTGATGAGGAGGAGGCTTTCTTCGATGCTTCTCTCCGAGCGCACGCGGGATGTCTGCAGGTGGTTGCGTGGCTTGCCGAAGGGATCTTTGGGGCGTACTCCCAGGCTTCCTGTCGACGAGGCGGAGCTGTAGGTGGACAGGGAGCTGAGGGAGGAGACCAGGCTCGAGGTGTCGTCGCTCGGTCGTTCGAAGCCTCTGTCTTCGCCCTCCGACTCGGTTTCGCCTGTCTCCACCGGGGGTGGCAACTTGGCCAGGGATACGGCGTTGCGGGTGAGGGACCCGGACTTGTGGATGCTGTCCCAGCCGTAGCAAGGCCGTTCCCCGAGGTCGTCGGATCCCTCGGACGTCTCGGAGCCGTCCTCGTGCCCGGAGGCGTGGCGGTTCCGGCGAGCGCGTCCGGTGGTGCCGTCCGTGTGCAGCACGGTCACGTATTCGGGGCAGGCGTTGTCCTGGTCCGAGCTCACGCCGCTCGAGGAATTGTCGTTGTCCTCTTGAAGGAGGTCGGCGGGGTAGGACTTGGAGGATTTGAGGCCGCATCTGGCCCTTTGGATGTCCTCCTGGCTGAGTTGCCAGGGACCCTCCCCGGGGATCGTCGTGCGTTCGCCGGGTCGGTATTTTGCAACCGGTTCTCGGACGCCGTTTCTCAAGTCGACCCGTACTTTAGCGGGTGCAGGAGCCTTGTCTTGGATGAAGGCTCCGTTGCTCATTTTGGTCTGCCCGCTTCGCTGTTGGTTCTGGGTGGAGGCGAACTTCTTCTCCAGGATGTGACGGAACTGTGGGTCGACCGCGGAAGACGCCGGGGCCCCGGTGGACATCCCGTTGGAAGGGTTCCTTTGGGGCGCCTGTCGAAGGCGTGCCCTCGCCTGGTAGATGGCGTGGATGGCCTTCGTGTGGGGGTCCCCGTCGTTCGACTCGAAGGAAGAGTCTCTTTCCTCGAGGGATCTGGGTCCGTTTCGCACGGTCGTGTGGCCGTTTTGTGCCCACGGGGAGTTCCCGGATGCCCGACCGCTGGTGGTTTCCAAGTTTTGGTTCTGCGGTTTCGGAGTGGTGTTTTTCCGTTCTGCACCGGCAGGCACTTTTTGCACTGGATCGTGATTGGGGCGCGGTGGTAAGCTCTGAGAGCGGCTTTTAGCCGATCCGGTTTCCTTTTCTTTGGCTGTTTTCGACTGCGGGTTGAAAGTGACTGGCGAGGCGTAAAGCTTCGCCACGCTGTCGGGTCGGAAGCTCGACAAGATCTCGCTCGACTGGCCGTGGGATGGAGAAAGGGATTTCCCCGATTTCCCAGACACGTCCACGCACACTATTTGTCCAGCAGGAGGTGGCGGCGGTGGGTACTCGGGGGGTGGGTGCCCTCTCACGGATGAGGATCGGGGGAGTTCCTCCTTCCTCATTCCGCGTCGGAGGAGGTACTGGACGTTGTCGTCGCTGTACGACTCGGGACCGGGGAGCAGGGGGTGGTCGGCCACGGGGGTGGGGAAGTCATCGGGGTCGTGCGGGTCGTGTGGCTGGGGGATGGCCTCCTGGCTCAGGCTGCGTCGGTCGCTCGAGATCGGGGCGGCGGTCGGCGTCACCGGGATGTAAGGGAGGGACGTGGGCCCTTCGTTCTCTTTGTTGAGGCTGGGGGAGCTGTGGTATGACTTGTGCAGGGCTGTCAACTCTGCCTGGCTCCTCTGCTTCCTTGCCTGCTGTGGACATAGGAAAAAATAAATAAATTTATCGTTCTGCTCTGCCATAGACCATTATGGTGGTTCTCATCCTTCTTCACATCATAACTAATTTGAGTGAAATCTTACCCTTCTAAATAAGGATTCTGTTCATGAACAGAAAATTCTCAATCACTGTTCTTTCAGTTGCATCCACATTTAATCACTTACACCTAATGCCAGTGCTCGTTTTCACACAGCAAACGCAGGGAGAACAGTTTTTTTTTTTTTAGCATGGTAGCCCACCAATCGGGACATGGCCACCTGTTATTGGGTTGCAACTAAGTGATTTGAAACCACTTTTAGAGTGGCAAAGAATGACCTCAATCCAATTGAGAGCCTTTCTTTATGGAGCTGTCTTTCGACTCCTCAGTATCTGTAACTCTCGTTCTAGCACCTGTGAGGGTTCAGGTCATCAGATATTATTGCTGGCGAGGATTAATAGAGTTTTTGGTGCTGTCCATGAAGGTGAACGTGGTGACACGACCGAAGAGTGCCAGTCTGTCTTTGTCTTGTACTGGCAGGGGAATTCGCACGCTCTCGTCAAAGATTTCAAGTCTTACTTGAGAATGGGGATCATTTCCTCAAGCACTGCATTAATGTGTGTGAGGGGGTGGCTAAGTTCCGAGAACCAGCAAAGCAGATGGATCCGGAATCTCCAGGGAGATCGTGAGATCATTGAGAGGAATGATAAGAAGTCAAAGCATTCTATGAGAAATTCCTCAGGGAATGCCCCAACAGTAGGATCGAAGAGATCAGCCTGGATGATGCAGGAGCTCGAGTCATCGACTCCTTTGACGGGGAAATGACAAAAACAACGGGATCAAGGGTGTCGTACCAGAAGGATACTGAGAGCAAGGCCGGTGAGAGGTCGGTGCATATAAGTGCACTCTATAGGAAAATTGATATTGCTTTTCCCTGCGAAAAGTACTGCAGATAAGGACCCCTGCGCAAATGCGAAAATCACCAAGGTGCCTGTAATGCCCTCCCATTGCATATGACTCATTTTATGAAGGGGGAGGGGATACATCTGGAAAGGAAAGTGACAGAATCTAGGATTGCAAAATGTTACAAAAGGTGCCAGTGCGATTACATGCATATGCAAATGCAAAGCTCCGGAATTTCAAGATTGAGGAAACCATTCCTCTTTGGACCTACAGGAGGCAGGATTGAGAAAGTTCTTCTCCAGAGATGAACCCAATTTGGGAGTGGCCCCCACTCCAAAATTGAAGTGGAGAGAGTGTGGATTTGGGAATGACCAGCAAGAAATGATTCTTCGCCAGCAAAGCCATAAAGTGAACAATCAGAACGAAAAAGGTACCCAAGCTGGAGCAGCGACAAGAGTAAGGTTGGGAATTGGCATCAGAGGATACATTTGACATGGTTCAAGTTCCAAATATGCGATGTGACAACCTTTACAACTCCTTCACGATGGAAAATAAAGGTGACTTGTCTTCCCCGAAGTCCATTGGAATCCCAAAAATAAATATAAAAAAAAGATATGGTGGGAATTTTTAGACTCTTCCGTTATTGGATTTGTCAACGCATGAGACAAGAAGCTTAATATTAACAGCTAAAAAGCAGGTGAATAACTCAGTCAGAAGCAAACTAGCTATCAGGGACATGGATTTAGAACCAAACAAGTTGAAGACTCTTTTGGTTCAGATGGAAGCACCTCGGTGCATTTAGGTAAAATCAGCTCTGAGCAAAATCCAGTGCACTCTCTCCCTAGATGAGGGAATTTAGAGAACCTTGGTGGTGGAGACTTAGTTGGGGTTTTGTATCCTCAGATCAACCGCTTTGGTCAGAATGAGTCTCGTTCTTGGATATATGGAGGAGAGGGGGGGGGGGGGATGAGGAACCTGGGGCTAGATAAGTTACACGGAGGTAGAATTTGAATGGGGGATACAAGGGGAAGGTTAGATAGGAACTTGGTATCAAGGTGCAACAAGGGCTCAGAGACTCCTGCATTTGGTGAATTACCATGACTTTAGCAAATTATTGTCACACACCATTTAAACTTCCTCGTGTTTTTTGCAAGCATTGAGCTTAAAGGTGGCCATGCTATGGGTAGGCTTTTTGCTCCGGGAAGGAAGGCTGGATAGACTGAACGCTAAGTAATCTAGAGACAGAAATGCATGTTTGATGTGAAGTGAGCATGTTTGATGTGAACCACACGGCAGAGCAATAACAGTGCAACCAGCCACAAAATACGAACATCCTTCTAGAGTCAAGTGACAACAACGACAAACTTTTTTCTTCCTGTAAATACTTAATATTCACAAAGTTATAAGAATACGCTGCTTGACTTAACACCAAGGCACAAGGACAAAGTTATAAGCATAAAGTGATGTTTCTCACATCAAACAGGATGAATCTACTGTCCGCAAAAGAGGGAACATCCTGATTAACAGGATTGGAAACAACGCTTGATGAAAACAGTTGGCCATGTATCTCATAGAGCATCATGATGACAATTATCATTTTGCAGTTATGAAAATTTCAGATTCGGTGCATGCAGTTTTTCCAGTGGAGTTTATCTTTCTGCTTAAGCAATGCTTAAAGGTTCGGTCATATTTCTTCCGAGAAATCCCTGTCAATCATGATGTTGGAATTAATCCAAGCAGCTGAAGGGAGGGAAAACAACAATTTGCTAATGAATCAAGGACGACGTGTGTCAGTGCATCACTACCGGTTTGATACATAAAATTCTCATAGTTTGACAGGTAATAGATTGACGCATCTTGGATGAAGTGAATCTGGTTAGGACGATGCGTCTCTGCTGACTCATGAAAGCTGTTATGACAAGTTACTGTGAACCTCACTTTTTCTATGAAATCTAGAAATTCAAACAATGAATTTAGCACCTACTGAGATAAAGGTACTACTACTGCATATGTTATCATGAGGAATAAAATATGCACTAAAAATAGTGTATTCATTACGTTTTACCCAGATTATATCAGACACCTGATGAGCTGCAGATACTCATCAGATCTTAAGCTGTACTCCAATTTCCCACACTTGTTAATTAGTGGCTAGATAACCACGAACTCCAGTCAGTGGACTTTCTCATGCATGTGAGTGTTGCGCAGAGGTGTGTAGTGGATCAGTGCGGAACAGATAAGAAGGCCCACTCAGATTCCAACACGAAAAGATTTCAACTAAAGGATTCCTCACCAGTACCACCACTCTCAACTGTGCATCGTCTCCGTGTTAGAAACTACAAGGAGGAACGCAATGACAATTTTAAAATATTGGAGGAATAACGCCATAGTTCATTCGTATATTGTTTCATAATGCAATAAGCCAAAAGAGCATTCTCAAAATTGGCAGTTAGTGTGCAGAAGTGTCAGTTAACTTTCCCTGTGTTGTGTTTACATGCTAAATGGCAGAATTGAGTTATCTTTAATCATAATAAACTATCATAAACTAAGGATTTTGAAGGTGAATCGGTAGTATCTAATTTTTTAACGCTATTTTTGGGATGTGCAATAGACAGAATAGAGTGCAATGCTAATTGAAGGGCTCCGTGCAAAAAATTGACAACCCGCTATATTGTCAAATCTGAGAGATTTTTGGAGAGATATTCCAGACTGTCTGCAGAATCATTTGAGAGCACTTAGCTCAGAAATGTCACGAGGCAGTTACAAAGGTATACAAGTGCCTGCAATATCCATAACCGGATTCATGAATTGGCAGGCCTTCCCCCCTTTTCTGCTCATCGTCATATCTTGTTTCTTTCTAACTTTCCATTTCTTGTCATGATCGTGACTAAAGTGACGCCTCTGCTCAGATGACAAGAAGGCAATTCATTTTTCAGGAATGTCTTGAACTTTTTTGGAAGTGGGAAGTCAGATTTTTCCCCTGAGCCCTATAAATGAGTGCTGCTTTTTCTAACTATCCATACAAAGGAAATCAACTCAGTAAACTATGGTGATCGGTGGTTCCAAAACATTTGAGACGATGATGACAATCACGTGCTCCCCACACTTGAATGAGGATGATTTGAGAATATTTCAGTGGGAATTGCGTAGTCAAGTAGACAGAGCAACCAGTTAACTTCCGCCATGCGTGATCAATTCTAGCCCACCTCTACGATTTTGATACGAAATAATGCAAACCTTTCTGGATGAAACTGAAAAGAATGAAAAATAATCCACGGCAATTTAAAAACATTCCCGAAAAACATCGCAAAAATCCTGTAATCAGGAGAAATGCCAAGCACGTCCTGCTTTCATTAATTTTCCTCAGTTACAAAACAAGTAAACAAACAAATGTTAAAAGAGTGATCAGAAAGGAGGCAATACCTTCAGTCGCTTCATTTCAGCCACAGACGCATAGACCTTGTGTGCCTTCCCGGTTTTCGACGGGCTCTCGATCGACGGGGGGCTCTCTGCCAGGAAGATCTCCTCCACTTGGTTGGCCGTCAGCCGTCGCGAGGGCGGTCGCGATCGGATCGTGGCCGTTCGGGGGGTATCGGGGCAGTCGCCGTGCTCTGTGGAGGAATAGCGGGATGATTCTGTCCTCGGGAAGGTGGCAGGTATTGTGCATGGATTTGCATTTAGTGGCCGTGGAATCACCCATGCATGAAGAGTTGAAGACTGACAGAAACGGATTTACAACGGTCCAGGCAGACGATCGCTGGCAAAATTTTCTATTTTTACAATCAGCACAGTCACTCGATACAAGTGACCGTCCATCCCTGAAGTGCAAAGTGAAAAGGGGAACGGTTCCAACGAACCAGGAAAGAGTGCTCACCCATTTGCGAGAGGGTACCAACGAAAGAGCGGGCTCTCGCCCGGCCCACACTGAGGCTGGTGCGGGGATCCCTTCTGGGCACAGGCGGTGCCAGCGGTGACCGACCCACTTCCACCACAAAGAGAGAGACAATAATTTACATACCATAGCATACCATCTCGTGTGAGGTTAGTATGTACACTTCCATATGTAACATTGCAGAGATTCAGCATTTGACTAGGCATATCCATGGCAAGTGCAACTGCTAACGGCATCCACAGCGTGATTCACAATTCCAGAAATATACTTTCAAATTCATGAATACATTTTAAACTTGAAATTCGGAGTTGAATTTTCCCTTATATTTGTCCCAATTATTTTTCATTCTGTTATGTGCTTTGAGTACCAAGGGAACCCATTAGTTCTTTACGATTCAAATACTTCACTGTATGAAGCTAAATACATTTTAGACTGAAAATAATTGCTCCATGGCCAAGATATTGGCATGGTCATAAACATTTTTCAAGACACGTGAGTCACACTGCATCTGCCAAAATCCATTATTACAGCCCATGCTCACATGCTATTCATGCACACTAATGCATCTGTGTTCTGAATGATACAAGTGGAACTACAGAAGAAGTAAAAAGTGTGCGACGAAATGCATTCTTAACATGCCCAGTTCCTTCCGTGAGAACCTGTTGGCATTCGAGGACTGCTCATACTTAACAGTACCTGAGCTGTGTTTCGCAATATGATACACGGAACTCGACATTTTTTACCTGTTCTGGTACGTCATTATCACAGGAAATACTGACATAATGGGATCAACTATTATTGTAATTTTGTGATATCGTGTGAAACTACGGTAATCCTTGACAAGTCCCACCCTTCCTCTTTTAGCAACAGATGCCTTGGGGTTGGCACGTAAGACATGTACTGATGAAAATGGTACCACAGTTGCAACTAAAAAACGTATATGCTAGTATTCAGGTGCTCCTTGCTCAAGTTCATTGAGATACCTGGAAGGATTCCCTGGAATTCCCTTCCCTATTCTAAATATCTCAGGGCTGCCAATTGACTAAAAAATTTCATTCATTTCAAATGTCGTGGGTTGCTTAATTATTAACGGATTGATTGGTCAAGTTTTGAAAAGTCAATAGTTTCTTCCATAGATCTCGTGCAAGAGTAATAGTCCGAAACATAACAGCCACACAATCACAGAAGCACTCGAGGAACAACTGTTACTTCAATTTCTAATCACAACTGCAACTTCAATGTAAAAATTGATTCACCCTTTTAGATTAGTAGCCTTAATATTCCCTATGGATATTTCCCCCTGTATACAGAAATCTGCCACAACCCTCCCCCCAAAATTAATTATTATGAATAAATAAAATACGAGGTATAAATAACAACCACATAAATAAATAAATATGATAACATTAATAAGCAAGGCTTTTTGACAGAGGCTGTACACACCCATCGTTACATACGACACATATTCGAAAGGGCAGGAACACTCACTGTTGATGTTCCGGGGCAGCGTCGCCCAGGGCCGGGGGCCGGGGGTCTCCACGTCCCCCTCCCTCGGCTCGTCCAATACCGTCACCACGGTCATCTTCACTCGGTCACCAGACTCCTTGATCCGCTCCACCACGACTTCGTGCGGGGCTTGGGACACGTCCTCGTCGTTGATCTGGTGGAATGGGGTTAATCTCTCGATGTGCACAGAGCAATAAAATTTAGCTTTGTCACTACCGGAACCCGGAAGGTCAACTCTTAGTGTAGGATGTTTAATTAACTCTTTGTGTCATTTCATCATTCCCAAAGAATCTCTTCGAAATACTTTCTTTAATTACTACATGTCTTCATGAAAATACATGGGCTTTGGGCTTGACTAATTTACGGCGCAGCCTACAAAAGTTTTTGTATCAGGGTCCATTGGACCCAGCACGATAGTTACAGGGTTAAGCAGCCATCAAACTAGGAATTTTTAGATGTTTAAATTTGCTTTCAGAAGAAAACGGATTTTGATCGAGCGGTGCCAATACATCCACAGAATTGAGGGTGGGGGGGGGAATGCCCCACCAGTTTGCCTTGAATGAAGGGTCTCCACATTTGGATTCGTTCAAATAAAAATTGAGAAACCGTCAGACAGGTGGCAGAGAAACTTGTGAATTGCAAACCAACACCTTTTCAATTGAAAGAAACAAGTTCTGTGGTTCCAGACTTGTCTGGAACTGTGAATTTTTTTTCGGGAGGACTTTTTTATGACTGGTGGTGGCTTTTTAGGCCAGGAAAATAGAGGTCAATCCTGGATCTGGATATACACTAAACAGGACGATTTGAACCAGCTATTGGTGTAGCTTGATCCAGCTTGAAATAGGTAGAACCAGATTAAATGCTTTAACTTAAGTAACCACGTCAAATTTCCAGTTGGACCCAACTGGCTCCAGCTCTTGTTTCCGACTATAAAGTATTACTAGAATGCAAATTTTCCACGCATCAATGGTCACAGTGGTTTCAATCAAACGGATCTTCAAACATAACCATTAAATTATAAGTAAATTATAAGAAAAACCGTCGTTGACTCTAATACTCGATCCATAGAGCATGCGACCAAGACAGCTGAAGTTTCGCAAAAGAGTGCAACTCACAGCAAGGAGGAAGTCTCCCCTGAGGAGACCCGCTTCGGCCGCGACCCCGCCGGGGTCCACTTGGTCCAGATACTGGAGCGCGGGGCATCGCTCCGACGGCATCAGCCCCACGAGCGGGCTCTGCGCCTTCGCGCCTCTCAGCACGAACCCGAACCCCCGCGGCCCGCGATGCAGCGCCACGGTCCGCGCGTTCCCGACGCTGTAAGATCCAACCTCAGTCGAGTCTGATGTCGACAAAGAGATTTGAACAAATTAAGGTCGAGACCGTACATTCGTCTGGGTCCGTCCATACGACTCGACGGCTCAGAATACGACGCGGACATGGGGGTCTGCCCCCGCAGTTTCACTTCCTGGACGCACTGGGCGGGAAACAGCCCCGACGTCCCACCTGAGACTCCCTCGAAGAACCCGGAATCTGTGGAACCCGTCACTGCAAAAACGAAAAGCAATACGCTTTAGCGTAAAAGTTTCCGTGGAGGAGAGAGCAGTCCCCCGGGTGAAACTATTTCATGATATCTGAGTATAAAAAATTCTATCGACTCCTCAAACTTTCTCCAGGAGTTCCGCACAATTCTTACCTAGTACAAGCAACAACTCAAAAGAAACGATGAGCCTTAGAAGAGGCATAACGTTATTTATTGGTCCTTTACTGGACCCATCGACCGAGAATGAGCTTATCAAGACTTTCTTGCGACTTCTTAAGAGATTAAATACTTTCCCTCTCGTCGGATCTAGATTGAACAAAGACATTTACCCTCGACAAAATCGCCGACATTGAGCGACAGATGGCTGGGATCGGGCGAGGAATAATGCTGGATGCAGACGGCTGTGACCGGGTGGCCGGCGATCGAATGGCCGGCGACCGGGTGGCTGGCGACAGGGATCTTGCACGATGACTCCGTGGGGGTCACGGCCCCGGTCGAGGAGTCCCCGTCTCCTGATCCGCTGTTGCTGCCGCTGGTCACCACTCCTGAGCTCTCGCTTACCACATCGCTCTTGTCTGCAGGGGGAAAATTGAGCAGTGCTTTTCGAATCGACCACTCCGATCTTTACCACCCCAATAGTTGCTTTGTTGATTTAAAAAACACTGGAATTACTAATGTGAAATTAATAAAACAGTTACATTGTCATTCATGATTATAATCGTTTCGAGTCTCCCAAAGAACCCAAAAAGTCGTTGGGGGACATACCTGACTTGATGGAAGAGTTGTTGTCCCCATCGTCCTGGGTGCAGGTGGAAGACGACGCGTCGGAGAAGGAGGACGAGGCGGAGCTCAGCGGCGGCAGGGACCAGTGCGACGGGGAGGGACTCGGCGGCAGCAGCCCCGAGGGGTCCAGCTGGTGGTCCGACCCCGCGCGGCTCAGGGAGGAGGCCGTCGAGGGTCGCCGGCGTGGGTTGTACTTGGGAGACTCTCGGAATGGTACTGCCATGCAAAAGATGTAATTTAATCTCTCTCTACATCTTTTTTTATTGTCTCTTTTTCGCGTCTCGTATTACGTGATTGGAATGTGGCCGGTTTCGAGATTTATTAATTTTTTCCCTTGAATCTGGGGAACTGGTTTGATTTCTCACTGGGTGAATGAACCAACAAAGATTGGGAGCAGATCTTTTCTCACGCTTTTTTGACGTCCATAAATCGATCGTGTCTCGCATTGGTAAAACCTGTGGTTAACTAGCACAAGCAGCTACACAACAGGCAAACGGGTCGAAAGAAAGGAAACCTAACTAGACAATTCACATTCGGATTCGGGACCATCTCAAGTCGTTTCTCGAAAAAATTTAGTTTGTAACACGAATTCTGAAATTCAAAGAGATGGTGAGAGAGTAAAGGAGGAAGAGTGGAGCTGGGGGAACAAAAAACGACGAGAAAAGGGAAGAAAGTGGATGTCAGGGAAGCAGGGAAGAGATGGAGGGTAGTGAATGACATGGAGGGAGGTGGGAAGATGGTTCGCCGATGTCCATTCTCTAACACTCGTGCATGTACGAAGTTCCACATTCTTCTTGGCACTAATTCTGCTTTCACCTCTGGCGACATAAAGATAGTTATCGTACTCGAAAAGCTGCATTTTTAAAGATATCCTCGAAATACGAGCGTGGGAAAACACACACACACAAAGCACATATGCACTCACACACGCAACGCATGCAAAGACAGACAAACAGACACAACCGAGTGTCTGTTGTTTCCTCCCATTTTTTTCCATCCTGAAAAAGCTCGAAATAGTCAAGAGTTACCACTTACCAGGATTTCGAGAAACTAGCGCTAAAATCTTGCCAAGGATTGAACTACCCAGATCGACTCTCATCCAACCAGCACTTCAGGGCCAAACGGCAGAAGTTCGCTTTGCAATAAACGATTCAGAGATCGACGAGAGAAAAGGATTTTCGATCTGATCTTGCCACTCCACCTAAGATTTTCTACTGAACTCATGTCCCAGTTTGGTCTCTCTTCCCTCTCCGCGAGCACCGCAAAAGGGTGAATAGAACAATCTGTACAATACTGATTCCAAAGAAGAAGCTGAGGCGTCATAGTAGCCGATAGAGAATTTTCCTATTGTCTACGATAGGAGACTTTATAATAGACCGGCTGCACTGACGTCACAGCATGACGTCACGCGCATGCTCTCTACGGCATTTTGGAAGACTGAGGAAGGCGAGTTTTTCAAGTGATCACTCGCAAATTTCGTGCGCTTCCTCTGGATGCCATATATTCTAGAATGTTTCAACCCCTGGATGCCATATATTCTAGAATGTTTCAACCCCTGGATGCATCAGCAGAAAACTCGCTATCTTTGTATGATAGCGAGTCTTTTGCGAGTCATCGTGACAATCTGGATCCTTACGCCCTCAATGCCAACAAAGACGCTACCGGTGACTGGCCTAGGACTAGCCAAGAGTTAGCATATATGACGGCCTATGGATAGCATCGGAATAAGCTTAATACTCTTTTCCTGTCCATGACGTACACGTCAGCATATTGCAACTAACCCTAATACGAAGTGCTACGAGCAGGCTCTTGCTTACGGAAGCTTCTCCATCGTGAGATTAGCTGATATGTCAGATTTTCTCTCCTTTGTCGGCTAATCCTGGCAGTTTCTGGCTCTAGATGCGTTATACGCGCCAGGATACGATAAAAGGACCCGCCGACCACTCCACTCGATCGAGCCTCGATCCGAAAATACACAGATGCTGAATATCTCGAACTGCGCGGGCGTGAGCTCGAACTGCGCGGGCGTGAGTCACACGGGACAAACAGCTTGTCATCCAATCTGGCGGATGCACGTCTGCTCTGAACATGCTGCATTGGGCTGTGACGTCACGTGAGAATAGTTATTCGCAAGCCTAATCCGACTTTTCCGGATGTTCTTTCTAACAGAATACCACATTATTTATTTATTTATAATTTTTTGACTGAGTATGTATCGGATCTACTTACCGATGTCCTCGTCGCGATGGTTTTGGATGAGTTCAGCAAGCTTGGCGTTGCCCGCAATGACGGCCACTTGATATGGGGTCTGGTGGGCAAAGTTCCGGGCTTGCTTGTCCGCCCCGCGGAACAGGAGGAGTCGGGCGCACGACTCCCCCCCGTTCACGGCGCACACGTGTAGCGGCGTGTTCCCCGGCGCGTTCTGGGCGTTCACGTCCGCCCCGTAGTAGATGAGGAACTCCAGGTGCTGCACCAGCCCGTTCCGGCAAGCCTGCCAACAACGATCGGGAGTCTCACGAGGGTGGTCTAATATATTCGTTCTTATCTATCGGATCCCCAAATGTCAAAGTTTCTCCTCCCTTTCGCGATGAAATGCTCGGCGTGAAATGCTTTCAGACACGCAAAATCGTACCTTTCCCTATGAGGAGTTTCACAACGAGGCATTGAGAAATAAATAAAGAAATTAAGGATGTACACAACCGCGCCTTTTCCCAATATACTGCTAATTCTCTTGCAATAATCTTCCAAAAGTCGAAGAGAAAAGGAAAAAAAAAAGGGGGGGGGGGGTGAAGAAAACCAAANNACAAAAAGTAGAAAAGAAAAGGAAAAAAAAAGGGGGGGGGGGGTTAATAAATTCAGACGAGCCCTACCAGCCAGCTTAAAACGCGAATTCCATCAAAGGACCGAGATCCCATCAGCGCTGTAGAGGCACTCAAACTCCAGCATCCCCTCGGCAAAAGGAAGATCGAATCGCTACGTGTAATGGGATGGAGGAGCCTCATTCAGTTATGACATGCCGATAAGAGGAGCCGACGAAATGCTGGCAAAGGAAAGGAAGGAGGGAGGGAGTTGGCCAATATCAATTATGCCTCCTAATGGATACTAATATACCTTCCCCTCTTCTTATCGCAATCCATACCCGCCCGGGCAGACACGAATGATACCATGTAATACGAATCGCACGATGTACTACGAGCTTCCTTCCCTCTCCTGGGAATTACCGCTGTGAGAAGTCGCCTCATTGAGTCGGTGCAGCTCGTGTGAGCCGTGCCAAGGGAACGAGGAAGAGCAGGTTGAGTTTTTTTTTTTTTTTTTTTTTTTTACTTTTAACGAACCGGACTATACGAGCAGGTCCGGTCCATACAACAGTGCTTATCTTCCCACACTTTTTTCTCTCTCCCGAGTCCATTCATGGTCTGAACCCAGAGCCATTCAGAAGTTTTCCCCTCACAAGACACTGCCTGAATTAAAACGACCCATTTATAAGGCTCTACCCACACGAGCGCATCCATCATTTTTTTCCCAGCACGAATTTCCACTTTTCTGGGATATTTTTGAATTCGACTTCCTGAACGAGCCAACAGGACCCTTCGCAAAAGTTTTGACGCCTTTAGAATGCCTCCGTACAAAGTCGTCACGCATGGCAATAGACCGTAGCAAAAAAATGTGTTTTTTTTACTCAGCTGCATGAAAAAATTTATCCGCCTGACGTCACGAATGAAGTAGCTACAGGAGCATAAGAATTCCGGTTCATCATGCTTAAACACGGGCAACGGAAGCTCTCAAAGCTCTCCCTTTGAGGGAAGCCAACCGGAGACAATACAAAAAGGACTATTCATTCTCTCACTCACCGAGTAAGGCGAAGAAGAACCAGTTTAAAGGTTTTCTCAGCATGTAGAACTAACGTTATCTCAAGCCTAAGGACATGGAACCGGCATGAAACCTTATCGATATTAGCATATTATATGTATGCACTGTATATTAATAATAATTACAGACAATTTAGCCTTTGTTAGTACTTGTAGTCTGAAGTTGAATATATTTTTCAACGTCTTCCTTTCTTCCTGTTTCAGCGAAATATGCCTTTCCTTCGTATTCATTTGTCAATATTATTTTGTAGGAATATTATTTGTGCATTTTTTAATTTAGGAATTCATATAATGCTAAAGAGTGCAAAGTAATGGATGTTGCCAATTTGTCCAGACATTACTCGATTAGAACGCTTCCCATTTAGCCAAGAAGAGATGTCTCTCGTCACCTGGTGGACCTCGTGCCATCCCTGCGCGTCCTGGGCCCCGATGGAAGCCCTCTCGTGGAGGAGAGCCTGACAGACTAGGGGTTCGCCCGAGGGATTCAGGACGGAGTAGTACAAGGGCGTGAGGCCCTTGAGGTCCTTGTAGTTCGGCGACGCCCCCAGGTCCAGGAGGGTGCGAACGGCCGGGAGGTTGTCTCGGGACACGGCCCGGTGCAGCGCCGTGGCGCCGTCCCGGCTCCGGAAGTCCAGCAGGGCCCCGCCGTTCACCAGGGACATCAGCATCGGTCCCGGGTTCTTCAGTCCCGTCGCCAGCTGCAGCGGCGTGTCTAGCCACACGAGAAACGTTCGAGTCAAGGAGAAATTCTTCGGGGTGGGGTTCATGTAGCATTAACCACGGCGCAGTTTCTCTAGCCTCGACTGGGGATCGGGATTAGCAGGATCAGGACCAAGGATGAGGATAACAAGACAAGAACGAAGAAAAATGACTTCATTCACATGCTCTGAACGAGAGGTCAAGTTATATATTTATAACACACCCAATTACGAACTGGGATCAAGCTAGCTAAACCTGATAAATTTATGTGACCCAAACGTGACCAGAACTGGGAATCAGGTGTACCTGACCTGAACTCGGATCAAGATTATACGACCTGATGTCTAATATAGCCCAAAATATGACCCAGCCATAGCAAGACTATGGTGTGATTGAATAAATTTGATACGGGCAAACATCGTAGAATTTCCCGAGAACTAACAACACTTTGAAGCTCGAAAGTCAGCGCATAAAAGCTGGACTTGAACTGTTCATTACATGCTGACCGGACTAGAACTAACGGAAATGACCATTACATCTCGCAGGCAACGAGGTTCCTCTCGATATTGAGACATCAAAAGCAGGTCAAGATTATACGTGTTTTCCGAAGAGTAATGAGCGTGGGCGGAATGAAAGATCCACACGAGGGGAGGAGGATCCCCGCGATCCATCATGTCTGACTTTTCCTCGCCCACAAGTTAAAGACCGGCTCTGGTCAGCTGAGTCACGCTTCCCGGACGATTGTTTTCACTACAAACAGAAATCGAAATTCCTCTTTCGCAGAGGGCCTCACCCCCAGATTCCTGGCAGTGGAAGTTGGGGTCCAGGCCCTTGGCGCACATCTTGGAGGCCTTGTCCGCGTTCCCGTCCTTGACTAGCTCCAGGAACCGCCGCAGGGTGGCGCGCGAGTGCATGCTCTTGATGGCCTTCTCATCCAGCTTCAGCATCTTGTACACTCTCCGCTTGTACTTCAGCTGCAATCGTCACAGAATAAAAATGGTCATATAAAAGCCAGTGTGATTTTCTCCTTCAGTGCTTTCAACGAGTGCAACAGATATGCACATGGATTTGCTTTGGAAAGTCTGATTTTTATACACATCCCCATACGAGAGCATGGGATAAGTCTCCAGGGGTATTTATGTTCCAGTTTGTTTTTATTTTAATTTTAAGACAAACTATGTGTAAGTGCCGGGGGTAATATAAATATGTTCGAGGCAATTAAGGCCATCTGCGATAATAAAATGCCATGAAGATTACCAAATGGAAGTATATTGGGAAAGACCGATGGGAAACCGTCTGATCGCCAGATGAAACATGAACCTCTGACATGCTCCCATTGTGACAAATGCTCGCCCGTGGCAATATTACACTGTCCGAGCTTTGCTCTATTTTTTGCCCATAAATATCGCGGAAAGCTCCTGAAAGCAGAAGAGAACCACCGAGTTCGCAACAAAGGCAGGTTCCTCTCATCGTCTTGAGATAATAAGGCAGCAGAGCAGCCAGAACAAGGGAGGGTCGAGAAAAGAAAAGAGGAGCAGAAAAGGCACAGCGAAATCGATAAAGATCCCAGAGGGGTAGTCGGAAAGAAGAAAGGAAAAAAGAGAAGGGGGAAAAAAAGTGCAGTGTGGGGGATGTTTCAGAATCCCCTTCACGTGGAGATTCAATCAAGACCCCCCACAATTAGGAGAAGACGAAATGGGAGGGAAATTGTTTCTTGACGAAGACCCGGTCACTCCCTTTCCCCCCCCCTGGTCACTCCCTCTCCCCCCCGTCACTCCCTCTTCCCCGGTCCCGAAATCCCTCCATTCAAGACGGCAATTCCCTCTGATCATGTAATACGAAAGCAGAGCGTCCTCCCTTCCCCCCCTTCCTCCTCCCCCCCGTCAAATTTCCTTCTCTGATGATCCTCGGAGATAGACGAGGGTGATCTGCCAAGGGATTCATCTCCCAAGATGAGGGCGGCACTGTATCGATCAGATTGATGGACCACGGAATGTCGCCTGTTTCCACGGCAACAACCTCCTTGTGGACTGCCTCTTAGCACTTCATCATCGACATGTGATCAACTTTACAAGGGTTTCCATCTCCCCGGTTCCGATCGATCAATTTTAAGCTTTCATATCGAAAATTAAAAGCCATAAGTTAAAAGGAAGCCAGGAAGCCGACTTCTGTACTCTGCCACTATTCCTCCTTTATTATTTTTTTTTGAGCGAGCTGAACTTGATGAAGCACGTTCAATCTCCAGCTCCCATTTTCTCATTTCCCTGGGCTCCGATTAATGCAGATGAGCTTCTCCGTTACGTAAGTAGATTCCATCAGAAAATTGCGTGATGAAAGCTGCGGTTCTCCGGGAGGACCGACCATCGAACCACCCTGTTTGCATTCGGCGAGATGCGCAAAACCAGGATATTCCTGACTTTTCCCCTCTTTCGGTTCTTCCCAGGAGAGAAAAGTTGCTTCACGGGAAAGGACACCAAAAGAATATTGAGCAGGGCGAAGAGACGCACACGAAGGAGATGAATGTCCCGCGTTGACAGGCATGAGAGGGTAGAAGAAAGGGAGACGATAATGAGGACCCTGGAGATTTCCCTCATTACCCCATACGCCTTCGAGTCGACAGCGAATTCATTTTTTTTTTCCCTCTTTCGTCATCACGAATTTGAAATTTCCAAACATCCGGCCACGGACAAGCGATAACCGATGCAACAACCTCATGAGCATTGCATGCACTCATAAGCACACGCAATCCCGACACACACGTCAAAAACTTGTCCGGCACAGAGTGGTGGGGGAGACCGGGCGAGAGCGACTTGGGCTTGGGGAAGCGTTGCCTTGGAAACCGGTGAAAGAAACACATCCGGACAGAAATAGAAAGGTTCATTCGGACTTCTGGAATCCATTCCCGTCTTCCTTCTCCAGTTCCTTCTAAATGAAATACACATGAGAGAAACGGGGCATGCCACCCACGTGATCTGAATGAAGGTCAACTGGACTTAATCTTCCTTTTCTACCGGTCCTCCTCCTTTCCACGCATTTTCCTTTGTGTTTCCTGCCGAGGACAATGCAAGGGCATTTCCGCTCTCAAGACAGGTTCGGCTCCTAGATTTTTTCGAAGATTTTCCTGTCGGATCTCATCACTCGCTGAACTCTTCGCTCGTTGCAACATCGATGGCATCTCCAAGTGGCACCGAAGGCATCCCCAATTGGCATGAAAGCGGAACTCCTCGTGATGGATGACCCGCGAAGAGACGCGATCCACTTTCGCGGGAAATGCCGTTTCTGGGAAAGGCGCGAGATGGATCACCGTTTTCGGTATGTTCGGCACGTTCACTCCGCAACGCGTCCCGGCTGTTGTTCGATGATGTTTATGTCTATCTCGAGCGAGACTGGATATGATGGAGGGACGCGGCAAAGCCGGGCCCTCATCAAAATGCGCCGTGATTCCGTGAGTCATCAGTTGCGGACAAGTCTTGAATAAGTATGAGCATCTGGTTTCGGCAGGGGTAGAGAGCAGCCGAAAAAAAAATCGGGAGAGTTGACGTGCTGCATCTTCATAAAAGCGAGATTTCATTAGAAGGGGGAGAAGAGGGGAGCCCATGCAGACGTACACAATCATGTTCAGCTCCTCTCTTCTCCCCCATTGCATAGCTATGGCCATGGGGCTCGGCCCACGGCCAAGAGAAAAAGGGATCCTCATATCGGGGTATATACGAGCGACAGCGAAGCAATCGGATGGGGATGGATGACCCCCTCACTATGGGCTACTGTATGATGTCCCAACATCATTCTCCCCACCATATCCCCAGCTATTGAGGGGCATTCCAGCTGTTACCCCACATCCACGCTTCCCAGGCCAGCCCCTCGCGATTTGTTCTGACTGGATCTCGAGTTCCCCTAACCCGGCTTCCTTGCTCTTCTCACGCGTTTGCGGTTTGTAGTGCAGGCGATTGCATCACAGGGAACTTCCTTTTCTGCCACCCGATACCTTTGCTAACAGAGGCACCGGCTTCCTTTCCGGGCTATTCGATTTCTGCTGGTTCGAAGGCAGGATGCTGCGCTTTTATTTTCTTTTGGCTGGAATGACTGACGAGTCACGACTCACGGCGAGGAAAAAAATCGTCCTGAACTGCAAAGACCTCCGTGCCGAAGTCGGCGACGAAGAATGACCAGAGGAGCGCCGCGAGATTTCCCTGTTGGCACGGTTCATTTGACAAATGAGTCGAGGAGGCAATTTCCCTGTCTCAACTGGGATGACGTATGTCTCTGTGATAAGTCATGCCATAATTGATTGAGGGGGAAGATGCACAACCTGGGAGTTCCTCGCCCCGCCGAGGTGGAGGGCAAGCGCCGTAATATTTCATTGGCCGCTAACTTTAGCAGCCCTTTTCCATTCACAATGAAGCGAGGGAACACCCGGTTCGGGGGATCTTGATCTCGTGCCAACCGTTCCTCCTTTGGCTCCCGGCCAGCGATCCTCGTATGTAGTAACATGGTTCCTCTTCCTTGTTTCCGATTCCATGGCTTTCATTGCACCGCGGGGGAAAGATGAACGAGTCGGCTTCGTTTATCGCGGATCGTGCGTTCAGGAAGTAGCAAAACTTTTTACTCCGCATGATGCATGACGATGAAAGGACTTCGACGAGACCGGGTGATCATTTATCCTTAGATCTTTCGATACAACGAAAAATAGCATGCGATAAACAGAAACGCATTTTTCACCCACGTGCTGGGTAATGAGAATCGGATAACGAAAAGGCATTTGAATTATCTAAATAAGTTCGTGAGTCTTGTTAACAGCGCGAGCAACAGAACTGCTGTTAGCATCGTCCATGACAGCGGTCGATGTCGAATGTTTACCACAGCCAGAGCCGAGCCGCTCCTGGTTAACTGCCAGGGTCAACAAGGGCAGAAGGTGTTGTCGATTTGTTGAACTACATGGTGAACCGGCACTCGAGAATGCCGGTTAGGCAAACAGGCGACGGGTCGACCGGTCGGCGGTCCCTGCGCCTGTTGTCCAGGAGTCACTTCGCCGATTTCCCCTCGAGGGAGAGCCACAGCGGATTCTTCCTTAGTGCATCGGCCTGCTTCCTCTCGGGGGAGATCCATCCCCATCGCCTGCTCTTTCCATACTCTCGGCCGATAGACCGTCATTGATGGAAGCCTTTCATCGATCATCGCTTGTCCGTCCCGATAACTTTGCCTTTCGCTCCCGAATTAGTCTTCTCTGTCTCTGTCTCTGGGGCATTCGTGCAAACTGGCCGAGATACAGGGAGACCCAAAAACGCACGACTCGCCAGGCCACACCCCATCCACGACGGCGCCATATGAATGGACTAGTTCCTTTCGAGTCAATGGCCAAGAAGTTCCCCCGCTGACCGCTACTGTGAATGTGACGATCGATAAAGTGGACATCACAATGGAGTTGAATGCTCCGCCTTATCAGGAATTCCCCCCAAGAGGGAACAAAAGGGACGCAGAATTGTCACTCGTGACTCGGGAGAAAATTCCCTCGCCTTATAACGGCCATGCGAGGTTTCTGCCATCATGAATGCAAACGACCTGATTGAAGCCCTACCAATTCCCTGTTTCTTTTTGGCATCAGGCCTTCCTGTCATGCAATTCAACTGACGGAGAGAGGGCAATGGAGAATATTCCCTCCCTTTCCCCAAGAGAGAGGGAACAGAACGAGGAAAGGGGATCTACGCCTCGTAATTAGGTATCAGTAGGGTGGGAGTAGGAGGGAGGAGATGGGAGATGGGAGAAGGGGGGAGGGGGGGAGGGGGAGGGGAGGAAGTCATCTCCCCTGAACCCTTCAGAACGGATTTGCCGATGGGAGAAAGGGGAAGAGAAATAAGGAGAGAAGCTTCCATAAACCCTGAAGGACTCGGGAGAATTGGGATAGTCTTGGCAATACAGGGTGATTCGAGTGTCGCGATCGAATCACTTCTCGCACTTAAGTTATGCAAATAACGGAACTCGAGCGAAGCCGGTACAATCAATGGATCAGGCTTAAAATTACTTCCAAAGTTAAAATTGCTTCCAGGTATTCATCATTGTCAAGCTCCGGACGCGTCTGACGACTTTCCAATCTCGGCTCATTTTCCTCAATTTTGTCGTCATCAGAGGGCAATTGTCAAGGAGCAATTTTCGTTCTCCGTTCTCCTAAACGCGCACCACAGCCATGGCAGGGAAGTAACTGCACATCACGTATATTCGAATACCCCGATCTCGGAATAACCCGGAGCGTTGCATTTTCGCCATTCTACAGCAGGCGTTCGATAATTTGATTTATAAAGTTCGCTGGAGACTGCCGGAAAAGAAGAGAAGAAATCAAATGATCGAAATCGAATGAGAGAACAAATGTCCAGGGACAAAACCTAGATCCGGAACTCCTGCAACTCTCCGCCACTCTTGCGTTTCCTATTTTCACTGCACTGACACTAACTGACAGGCAAGGGAACATAATTTATGCCAAATGGCTTCATCTCGGGCAGCAGCCGACACATACTTCTTTTTTTTTTTCCTTTTTTTTTTTTTACATACCTGCTTCTACGAGGCACGCGAAGCCTGCGGGGTCTCGGGGGGAATAAATCATGGAGGCATGGAATGAGCATGACGCAGGCATCCTCCCTCCTTGCACTCTCCCTGCATCACTCCTCGCAACGCTTACGGCACCGCGAAAAAAATCTCGTCGGAACGGGAAGGAAGGAAGCGGACTGGAAAAATTCCAGATGATTCCGAAAGACATGTCTCTGATGCAAGTTTCTTTTAATGACCACTAGCCCCTCATTAATGGTCGCACATTTAAAGGGATCAGAGGGGATAATCCTGGAATGCGAGGCAGCAGCGAAAAAAAGGTCAGGTCATCACGACACGACCGACGCATTCGGAAATTCTTATTTAAGGATTAATATATTTTCATATCATACATTATCATCGCATGGTGCCAAATATAGGTTACGTGACGCCAAAAAGGCATGTCAAACGCGGGCAATTAAAAGTTCTGCCACACTTGCTGAAAAGGACGCGGCTAAGTAACGGGACGGTAAAGCCTTCGGATGACCGAGCAATTCAGCCCTAACTCCCCTAATGAACGGCCCATGCCGCAGATAAAGGGGAAAAGAAGCCAGCAAAACAAAAAAATGCGGGAGAGGCAAAGATGCATGATAAAGTGCGGCTACACACACACACACGCCCTCAGTAACCTATATCACCATGACAAGCCTTCCTCGTTTCGTAACGGGCTTCGGCCACATTCCTTATCGCTTCGTCATATTGCTCAAGGATCGCTCTGCATATTGCCATAGCAAGTAAGGGCCATAAATATTTGCGTCCGTCCAGGAAAGAATTATCGAGAGAGCACCAGGAGTGAAAGAACCATAAGTAATTCAGTAGCAACTTGGCATTTGAAATGCTCACCCGAGCCATTTTTCCTGGGAATACAGAAAGTACATTTCACATGACAACTCACGCAAGTCATCGGCACTCGTATTTAGTAAGGCTATTAGTGTGCTTCTGGAAGGTAGTACTTAACAGCTATTGTTGGACATTAGGGCGCTAGATAATTCCGTCAACCATCGCAATCTGGACTCTGATAATACGGAGGCTCCTTGAAAATGCGCCGAGCCGTCACGCGACATTCGAGTCATCAGGAAAACGTGGATCGCTCCGGTGCAGATCGCTCCGGTGCAGATCGCTCCGGTGCGGATCGCTCCGGTGCGGATTGCTTCGGTGCGGATCAATCTGGTGCAGATCGCTCTGGTGCGAATCACTCACCTCGAGATATCCCTCGGACGAGGGGAAGGAATAGTCTCCGATCCGCCGTTCTTCATCCAGGAATTTCCCGGCCCTCCCGTTCTCGGGTGGGTTGAACAGTCCGTAGTTGAAACTCTCCTTCAGCTCCTGGAAAAGCCATTCAAGCGGTGAGGTGCCGGGACGATTCTCATCGAGGCATCGGCATTTTACAGCCGCAGTTTCTCATTGTTATGGGGAGAGACAAAGACGAGTCCTTGGGGACGCGCCTTTTGTTCTCGGGAACCGGTCCCCGTCCTTGCTCATCATCGCAACTGTCACAAACAATTACTTCGCTATTTACTGTATCAATTCACCTCTTGAATTGAATTTCGCCTTACGAGGCGTGGCCTTGTTATGAATCACGAGTCTCGAAGCGGCCTTTACTTTATCGCTTTTTCGCCTCGGGAGGCTCCCTAACCTCGCTTCGTCTTAAATCATGCAGAAATGGAAAAATCTCTCGTATTCCTTTCGAAAGAATGAACAGCATGCAGGCCGAAATAGACTTCGATTACCATTCATCCGACACAGACAAAGCACAGAGGGAAAAATAGTGAAAAGGATAAAGGATTTTGCATGGACGCACTCCCCCTCCCTCCCGTGCAGATCCATTAATCCCATTTTGAGGAGGATCGATTGAAGCAACTCCTCGCATGCATCGCAGTTCAACATCTCCCCTTCATCTGAATACTCCTACGTTCTGGATTCAATTCCCGGGTGCAATTGCTATGCATTGGGAGTTCCTCGGCTTGTGTGGATTCGTGTGAATTTTGATGAATTAAGAAGGGCGGGCGCTTTCTGGGACCGGCGCTGACATCAATTCGGGAAACTGGAACGATGTTTTCTGCATTAATCACGGCACGACCGTCTTTTCTGCCTTCTTCGGGGCGACAATCGACCGCGTATAGGGGCGTCGACCAACTCCTGTCTTCGTGGGTCACGACTTCTCCATTCTCGGCGAAAGAGGGCACTGGGATTCCCCGTCTTCATAAACAAGAACAATGCTGTGTCACCCTTTCTTTTTTTTCCGGCGGGATCTGTCTGTGTATCTCGCGGCGTGAAAGCCCACTTTTCGGCTTCGAGTCGTCACGAATATCGTCACTAGTGTCGTCGAAGCAACCAACAAGCTTTGCAGTTTTTTTCTTTTTCGTAGGTGAATATATTCAATCACGGTGCGAATCAGAAGCAGTTGCAATTTTACAGGTTGAGAATTCTTATAGCCATGCAAAGGACGATTATTTTTCCGGTAAAGAAGCAGCTAGAAGTAAAAAAACGGCAAGGCGAAAAGGTTGTTGCGTGAGCTAGCTAACGACAAATCAGCCTTTTAGTGTAAAAGCTTGTTAGGGGAACACACTCAGCTAAAAGGGGCAATTAGGAATCCCTAACCAGGGAAAAGGGAGAAGATTCGGGCATGCATTTCAAAGCAGCATTTTTCAACAGAAAGCCCTTTCTTATCTGTTTATTCGACTGAGGAATTTTTTTTTTAAAGGAATGGGATGATTATAATCTCTTCGAGCATTGGCAATTTCCTCATCTGCCTTATCTTTTTTATTACCTGCTTTTATAGCGATGGAAGAAACCAATAAGCGCTTCACAGCAAACACCCGCATCTTGGAAGAAACTGATGAAAGTCTCGGTATGAAATCGTGAGCCATCTGGCACAGGGGGAGTGAGAAAGGAATCGTTTAAGGCGTGAATCGTTAGGTACTGAAAAAGTACTCGAAAACGTGGGAGGCAATGAATGGTGTCGACCTCGAGGATGAAGACGCGAGTCACGGAATATGACTCCCGGCTGCAATTACGGGCACGATCTGACGCTTCCTTCTAATATAATAAAATACTGTATAATAATCATTTCGGGTCACTGCTCCTCCCGATCTGCCTCCTCGCAACGGGATCGCGGTGTTTTTAAACAAAATATCATTGTCGTCTCCACCCTGATCCATTCATCATGCCGCTTTTCCGTCAGGAATGCCGTAATTCATGGCCAGGGGATTCCTTCCGGGAGGTCTATTGTACGCACTCGACGAATGAAGAAACACTCCGCTCCGGCGCATTAAAAGGGGCTCATCGGCGTTTATCGTTCGTGGAAAATGGTCGAGCCCTCGTGCGTCCCCTTTCTATGGGGGATCACCCCCCCTCGAAAGACTGCGATATTTCAAGACTCGAATGGCATTCTTGCATGCTTCCGAGACGGCGATTCGTTGCACAATGGCCGCGGAAACCCCACGCCCCGCTGGCTACGCGCGGTCTGGGAATTTATAGAGTGCAAGGGATTGCTTTCAAGCTTTTATGACCCATCCTCGTACGACACGCGGAGATGACAACAGGGTTTAGCTGTTTTTATCCTAAGATCCGGTCATTTCGAGTTCAGTCGGTGAAAGTTGGAAAGTAAGAGTTGGGAATCCGATTGCGAAAACCTGTCATTATTAAAATGAAAGTACGATTCGGCCAGCTGTGGCATCTACAAGATTCTCCACTCCTCTCAGAAGAGAGATGAGACTCCATTTAGCGTGCTTCGCCCAGTAAGCCACCCCCACCCAGACGAAAAATAAATGTCAGAATCTAAAGTCTGAAACTTACAATTTCAGAAAATTCAGGAAAGGGATAATATCATAACAAAAATTAATGATAAAATTTTTCTTGGATTAGTATATTGCAAATTTTATTATTAAATTTAAAAATATACACATAAATAATTTACCAATTTCTGTTAGGCAAAGTAGTTCAATTTACCATTTTCTTTCAGCAACTGTCGACAACCTGAATCTCTTTACTCTTCGCAATTTTCTTTTTTTTTTCCCCCGACTTCCTCAACACAGCTGCCAGTCTCCCGGAACTATCACTGCCCGCGAAAAAGGTAGAAAAATGAGCTCAGGATACGAAACAGAACTTAATGCGACCCTGACGCTGGATCCTTGCAGGCAACGAGGCGACCAGTGACGGAATTGCAGACAAGGGGCAACCTGTGACAGGGACGACCTGTGACAGTGGAGGACACCTGGGGATCGGGGATCATGCACGTCAAGAGGACGTCAGGACACGTTATGAGAGCAGGGGGTATATTGAAAACGTGCCCAGCCCTTCCCCGTCAATCTCCCAACCTAAGTGAAAGTACAACACGAGGTAAAACAATTCACACAATGGAGTTCCGGGGCTTGCAGAAAGAAGGCCGAGAAAACAAGAGGCAACAAGATGAGCACAAAGGGGAGGCTGTCGGTGCCCCGTGTGTCATCAGCTCAATCTAATGCAGATAATGGATTCAACTTCGTACCCTGAAGGAACTGGCTGGATGATGAAATCCGACTGGTTCAGAGCTATCGAACTAACAGATCGCTCGTCGGTGTTGATGTACGTCGTCAGGAGAAAAATATGAAAGAACTCATAATATGCTGCAGTTGCTGGCAATCACTTCTCCCGAGAGTCGCGAATCCTCTCAAAGCCGGGAAACTAGGAAAATGGAATCCGCTCAGACGAAGGATTCGCTCAGACTGCAGACAATGAGAGGATGGAAGCCCCGACTCTCTTTGGACGGCACCCTGACGATCATCCGCTTGAACCGGGCTGAGGAATGCTATGCAACGAAGGGATTCCGAGGAGAAAAGGGAAATGCTCTCGACTGTGGGAGGAGAAAGCAGGAATCCGGAATAATTACTTTGAGAAAACGAGGAGCAATGAGCCCGGGGATCGGCGAGGAGCATTTGCAGCACGCCAGGCCGAGACTGAATCGCACTTGGTAATTGGAATCCAATATCGAGAGAGCTCAGCGCGGTACCGTCGACGATATCCTGAATGCAACAAAAGATCTCAATTTCCGTTCCGCCTTCGATGGAAGGGCGTATGAAGATCTTCGGGACAATTGGCCTCGGCTTCCATTCTGTCGACGTCAGAGGAATATTCTCAGGATGTATCGATCCTCCTGTCTGAAACATTTTCCGTCCGGCCATCCCAGGAAAAAATGAATCAGGAATGAGACAAGCGAAGCGAAAAATTGTACTGTCGAGAATGAAGACGTTGGTCGTGCAAAACTCGAGCCCGTCGTGCCTGACAGGAAACCGAAGAAGGTTCCTCAAGTCATGCCTTCTCTCAGGGTCAGGCATTTGCATAAATTCCTCGAACACCGTATTGACAAATGCGTGGCCAATCCGACCCAGCGTGGCCCGTACAGCCTTCAGCGCCGGAGAAGAGCAAAAAGAGGACCCTTGTGTATCTATCGAACTTTCGTCACAATGTACTTGTTTGAGATATAGCATTCAAGGTCCTGCGTGGGAACAGCCACGTTAGCCTGAATTTTGGAGCTGGCTAGTTGGATAATGGCTGAGTCAGAAAACGTCACAGCGTAGGTCCTGCCAAAAAAACTCCATTTTTCATCATTTTCCAGCTAATATGAGAGAAAAATTATCAATCTGGCAGGAATGAAAAAAAAAGGGGTTTATGAGGGATTGACCTGTCGTGTCAAGATCATGGGAAACTTTCTATTTCCTGTCCTTTGTTCCAAGCAGTTAATTTTGAGCCGATCGCATCTGATGCTGTTCAACTCATCTCGCCCTCTCCCATATATCTCTTCAAATTTCTCAACGAGGAAAACCGCGATTTCCGTTGCCGCTGTAGAGAATTCATACCACATTCCATGGACTACGAAGCCATTTCTATCGCTCCATTGGAGCATTAAACATATTTGACCAGACCATGATCTATGAGGAATTTCGGATAATTCTACTTCATAGAATACAGTATAGATGTGACTGTTGAATCATGGACGAGTCATCTATTTTAAAAATGCCATCTATAAATAAAATCATCGCTGAATTCAAAGGTAAGACTGCAATGAGTCGTGCAGATATCCAGATGCAGAGGTGAGCCCAAGGAAGGCAGAAAGGCAGGAAGGAAAGTCGTGGAACCCAAGCCTGCCTGGCTTTTGTTGGTGAGTGGCAGGCAACTCTCGGTGACGAGGACCAGAAGACAGACTTCTCTTTCCATTGCCGGCACGGCAACATGGGATGGGAGGGGGGGATTTCTCCCTTCCCTTGGCACGTTGCCATGAGCCATGACTGGATGTCGTATTTACGCGCTTATCCCGTTATCTTCCGATGGAACTGCACAGTTTCAAC